GCAGTCACACACACGCAGTCTCACACATGCAGTACACATACACAGTCACACACTCACACACATTCTCACACACGCAGTCACATACACTCTCACACTCACACAGTCACACACTCTCTCACACTCACACATGCAGTTACACAGTCACACAGTCACACACACACTCTCACATGCTCACACACACAGTCTCACACTCACACACACAGTCACACATTCTCTCACACACTCACATACTTTCACACACACATGTAGTCACACACACCCTCATACACATTCTCACATGCACTCGCACTCACGTACTTTCACACACACACACACATACTCTCTCTTTCACACACTCTCACACTCACACTCACATCCCAGGAAATCACACCTGGTCTGGTCTAGAACCGGCCATGTTGAGGAGAAGTCTCAGCGCTGCACACTGGGCAGAGGTGAAGTTGGCTGATGTTTGCCCTTCACGGTTTGCTCGTTGGTAATTGTGCTGTTGTCCAGAATGATCATTACACCCACTGAGCAAAATCTGCAACAGCTCAGAAAAGATCCCATCAGCACTCACGAGAGACTGATGATTAAGGGAGGCACAGTCTCCTCGGCAGCACAGCGTGACAGCAGGATCAGGTGCTCACAGAGAAATCTCAGCGTCCACGTTTTGTAACAAGAGAGACTCAAGGTTAATGTCCCATTATTTTTTTCCAAAATGCAGAAGTACTGGATGTTTTGTTTCTCTGTTTATCCTACCATCTATGTTCTTGGTAGTTTGTAGTTGATGTGACCCAGTCTTACCAAAATATGTGTGAAATATTTTAGTTGGTTGCATAGTATTAGAATGTAAGCATATTCAAATAGAGGAAGTGATTGGATTATCAGCTCCAGTATTTCACACAGAATTCGCTGGACAAGAGAACTCATCATTCAGTGAGGACAGGGCCTGCTCCACCAGGAAGGCTTGATGAGGAACACGGTGAGGGCCGGGCACCGCTCTGTATCCCTAGCACTTTGGGAGGCCAACAGGGAGGATCACTCAAGGCCAGGAATTCAAGACCAGCCCCAGGAAAAGTGAGACTTCATCTCTCCTAAAAATAGAAAAATTAGCCAGATGTGCTAGTGGGCACCTGTAGGCCCTGTGTTCAGGAGGCTGAGGGAGGAGGATCCCTTTAGCCTAGGCATCTCAGGCTACAGGAAGCAATGATGATACCACTGTGCTCTAGCCTGGGAGACAGAGCTAGCCCTATCTAAAAAAAAAAAAAAATATATATATATATATATATATATATGCACACATACACACACATAAGAAAAGAAAAAGAAAAAGCACAGTTGAAATACAAATGATGACCTCTGATCTTGATCACCAATGCCTGGAGCTCTCGGTAGGTTTGTTATAACCGGGATGATACCAAGAACTGCCTTTCACACTTCCATGTGCACTGGAATCACGTGGGATCTTGCTGAAATGCAGAATCGATTCAGTGGTTCTGGGCCAGTGCCTGAGAGTCCACATTTCCAACATGCTGAGGTCAGAGGGGCTGCTCCTTGGACTTGACTTTGCCTTTCAAGGGGATAGAGGGGCTATACATTTGGGGGCCTATACGTGCCATGTCAGGCACTGTACATATATCATGTCTAATCCTCATGGCACCCCTGTAAGTCAGGATCAGAAAGAGGGGGAGAGAGGGAGGCACTTGCCTGTAATCATTCATCAGTAGGTAGCAGGTATGGGATTTGAACCCAACTCCACCTCGATGCCAGAGCCTGTATTGTCCCACCACCCTATATAGCTGCACAGACCCTGTGGTCTGACATATCTGATTTCCAACTCTCCCTGCCCCCTGCTTTGCCCTCCTCAGCTCTGTGAGGCTGCGCCAGGAATCTCTCCTATCTATGTCATCACAAGCTCCTGATCCGTAGAACTAGAGCATGGTGACTTCCTCCCAAGGCTGAATTTGGTCCCCGCATCAGTGCAATGCAATAGTAGTTGCTCAACAGTGTGACTCCCCACCTCTTTACTTACAGAGTAAAGTGGGGATAAAACCGGGTTGTGCATGTATGCAAATTCATGGGTGAAACATATCTGCGATGATGGCTTTAGAATCAGGGCCCCTTTCTGTGTCCGTGTCCGTGTGTGTGTGTGTGTGTCCGTGTGTGTGTGTGTACTGGGATGCACCCTGACCCATAGAGTGGGAGAGGACTCATGTACACCATCTAATTTTTCAGTAGATCAAAGCCTAAAACCACCCATTAACAAATGACAGGTGTGGCTTTCTGTTGTATATCATTAAGAAAAATCTAAACCAGTCATGGGATGTCTAAAATCCAGGTACTGCGTTGAGCTCGGTAAAAGCTTAAAATAAACACAGGTTGGTTTTGTTGTATGTGGCTTCCCCCCCAACTTGTCTAAAGAAAGTAGATTTTAATTATGTTGGTCCAGCCATACAAACATATATTTACAGGCTGCTTTAGTGTTGCATGGCTGTGGTTCCCATTAATCTTCATTTCAGATTATAATCTGGGTTGCTGGCCCCACCAGGTCAGGCTGCAGCTGTTACAAACACTATCATTCCCACAGCTCCAGTTGCCTCCTCTCAAACACACACAGGGGAGTGAACAAGCACAGGGGAGATGCTCTGAATATCTGGGGATGGTAAAAGGGTCTCCCAGAAGTAGCCTCTGGACTGGACATGAGCAGCACAGTAGAGCTTCTGTGACACTTGCAAGTGTCCAAACATTCTTGTTGTGTTCTTTTCATTGACTTTGCTAAATTGTTATTCATTGTCAATAGCTTCAGGGCTTCCAAAATTGTCTAGTCATCCAGATTTAATCTGTTTCAGCCTAGAACATTGCCCAACCTTACTGTAAACAGCAGGTTGTTTGCCATAGTTATTCTCTTCAGTGGAAATTTTCAGGACATGTTGTGATGACAAACTACAGGCAGAAGCTCCAACTTTTGTTCCTAACTCCACCCCAGCCATGATGGCCCCCTTGCTGCTCTTCACACATGCCAGACCCTCGCCCACCCCAGGGCCTTTGCACATGTTGCTGTGCTGCCTGGAATGTTCTTCCCCTCATGGTTTACTTCCTGGCCACCACTGGACCTTCAGTCAAACCCCACCTGCTCATGAAGCCCTATCTGGCCCACCCTCACACTCGAACAATCTTCATTCCCTTTTCTTCCTTTACTTGTGCCCCTGTCATACGCCCCCTTCTCGTATGCCCTGAAAATTGCCTAATGTTTATTGTCCATGGGAGTGGGGCCCCACACAGGCAGAGACTTCCATCTGTTTTGTCCCAGCCTCTGGAGCATGTCTGCACACTGTAGATGATCATAGACATTTATTGAATAAATGAATGATTCTTTCTTTGTAAGATCCCCAATGAAAAAAATAGCTCCTTTTTGAGTAAATCACCATTGTCGTTGAGTATTCATTCAAAATACACTTTCTCTGTGTCTGTGTCAGGGAAGGTCTCGTGCACCAGGGCTCACTGCCCAGTCCCAGCCCTTGTGTGAGAATGTGAGCAGGTGCTTGTTAAGTCTGCCTTTGCCCTTCCTGAGGAAGCGAGTCACAGACCCTGGCACCTGCCTGTGATGACTTTCCGCCCTGGCTGTGGCAGGACCTGAGCCTGCTTACCTCCTTTCTGTTGGGCCTGTCCCCCTGCACCTGACTGCACATGGTGCGTGCTGCTTGGGCACAGGAGCTGTTGGCATGAGGTGCCTTAGACTTGCCTTCCTATTCAAAGCCTGCTCCGGGGCAGCCGCATCAGTATCACCCAGGAGCTTAGCAGAAGTGCCACCTCAGCCCAGCCAGGCTGCCTGAGTCCAGGCATGCATCACAAGGAGACCCCAGGGGCTCACGTGTACTCCAAGCTAGAGAAGCCTTCAGCACACAAAGGAGGGTGTGTGGCCTCTAGCTGGAATATGTCACAAGTAAAGAACAGATCCTTGTTGACAACCGGGTGTGTATAAGGCAATGGGCTGCTCCTGGGGAGATAGAGCCCCGCATTCAAATGGGCTTTATTATTTTGCACTTATGATAGATCTACCAACACAGTCCAATCCTGACATTAGCTCTACATACCTCTTAGCCAACTGGCAGGGAAATTTGGTCCTCACTAACAAAAGTCCTACCCAGTAAAGGTAAGTCCTGGCTGGGCAGGGTGTGGTGTCTACTTAGCACATTTGCACAGCTTAAGCCAAAATTCTCAAGAATGAAAATGAATGCAGAACATGGAAACCAGACTTGTAATTACAAAGATTCTTTCTTTTTCTGAAAAATCAGGGATGTTCTGCCGTTTACCTTGAAGTTGCCTTATGCCATTTCAACAGCCAAGACTGAGGCTAAGCTTGAAGAACTGGCCCAGCTGGGACTAAGTAAGTGGAGGCCCTAGGCCTGGGTCTATGTAAAAGTGAATCCTTGGAGCAGAGTCAGTGTTGAGCTGGCTGAGGTCACATTGCCACACCAAACACACCACTGGTCAAAAATAATTCCCATCTTCATGGCAAAACTAGTCTTCAGGTCCCTGAAGTCCCCAAATCACTCCTCCTAAGATTCTTTGTCCAAGTCAAATGTTTAGCCTGTTCTCAAAGAGCCTGGGACTGGTTTGCCTGGGTAACTCCCAATCTCCCCATTTTCTCAGACAATGAGTTTGAGACACCCAAATGCTGACATCCTGCTGAGAGCGTCTGGAATGTGTCCATGTCTTCCCCTTCTGTGGCTTCCTGCTGGAGAAGGCAGTGCTTGACAGAGGCAAATCCAGGGTGGTGTGTCGGCATGGGCAAGAGTTTTATTTTTTGAAGGTCACATGGGCATTGACGGCACTTCTGTGCCTTGAGGAATTTGGTAAGGTCTGTCTCACTTCCCCTCTTATGGTTCAATTCCCGTCCTGCTGTTCTGGCCCTGTCTCCACTCCACCATGGACCCTTGCTCTGGCAGCTGGCCCTCACATCCTCCTCCTGCCCACCTGCCAATGCTCCCCAAGTCCCCACAGTTCAGCTAGACCATGGCTGCCAATGGACCAAGACATAATGACTTACCTAGTTTAACTTCTTCTTACCTTGGGGAATCCAGGGTTTAACTTTTGTAAAAAACTAAAAACTTCCTCCTTGATTGAAAGGTGAAATTCTCTCAAGATTTGAGGGCTTCACTCTTTAAATATGTTAACAAGCAGATCACACAGTATTTGAATGGAAGTTTGGGACTTTGTGGGACTTTGAAGCACAAATGCCAAGATTTCTAGAACCTAAGATACTATGATACTTTACCCAGATAATAAAAAATGTAGGGGTTCCTATTTTGGCATATTTTTCTCTTAACTGATAGAACTTGCTTTAAAGTGGAGGCCTCCCTAATTCTCAAAGAAGCTTGACAGAAGCTTTGAATTCTCTTTTGAAACTTAGATTGCTTCAAAAAGATTGCCCCATGTGCTAAAGGCCTTTCTTATGGGCAGCTGGGTAGGAGGATTGGGAAAGAGAATCATGGTATAACTCTTAGGGCTATAGAAATATCCCTACTAAAAGCTCGTACCCTCTCTTACAACTAAGTTCTGCACATCTTTGAGAGAGATTAAAACACTTCCTGAAATTAACTCAGTATTATCAATTAGCTTTTAGGCCTTTCTCTGCTGACCTTTGGCCCATGACTCCAGCTCAGTGGTCAGTATGCAGTGTGAGCTTAGTGCTGAAACTGAAGGACCAAGGTGTTGAGGACAATCCTTGTGCCATGCCAGGATGAAGATGAAAATAGCTTGCTCTGGCGGCTGCTAATCAGAAGTGCATGAGGTCTAATTAATACATTCAACCTATGACTATCGATGTGCACATTATCCATTTTGAGTAAAGACCACGAATTCTGAAATTCTGTAGCTCATTTATTGGTTCATCCAACAAATATTTCTGAAGAGTCTGCAGTGTGGCAGGCACTCGCCCCACACCAGGGACTCCTGGGTTAGTAAGATTCCCCTGCTGGTAAGGCTCATAATTTGCATGGGAGACATACACATGTAAGAAGTAAGTATATGAGCCGTACACAAGCCCGACAGCTATGACAGCAGAAATCTAAGCCGGACCCAGAGCAGGGAGACTGGGCCCTCTAACACCTGCTGTGTGGGCCAATAAAAAAATGTGTGCAATTTGAAATACTGTAGTAGCCATATTAAAAAAAATAAAATGGCACAGTTTAAACTAATTTTTATACTTAGCTTCATTTAATGTAATATATTCAAAGTATTATAACTTCAATATGTAATCAGCATAAAAAATTTAAGTATGAATGAAATATTTTTCATTCTTTTTGTCATACTGTATGTCTGAAATCCAGTGTCTATTTTATGTCTACGACACATCTCAGTACAGGCCCTGAATGGTCATCAGAAATACATGATCTGTATTTAGATTTTATTAAATTCACTGTTGAAAAGGTAGATTTGGGGCGGCACCTGTGGCCCAACAGGGTAGGACCCCGGCCCCATATGCTGGAGGCGGCGGGTTCAAACCCAGTCGGGGCCAAAACAAACAAACAAACAAACAAACAAACAAAAAATATATATATAAAAAATACAAAAAAAAAAAAGAAAGAAAGAAAAGGTAGATTTGCACACCCACATTCCAAACATATTTAAACGTTTTCCAGTAACTGAGATGAGCAGCAGTTCTAAAATTTAAATTGATTGACATTAAACGGAAGTTAAAATGTGGTTTCTCAGTAGCACCAGCTGTATTTCAAGTAGCTTCCGAGTTGGACAGCACAGAAGTAGGAGGAGGGAAGGAGGGATGAAGGAAAGACTCCACAAAGCAGATGGCAGGGACACCCATGTTAGGATGTCACCACACAGACAAGGCAGGGCCAGGGCTCCATGCCTAAGCCTCTCCTTGGTCCTCCCATGGGCAGGTCCATTCTGGACCCAAAGGAAAGAAAGACATTTAAAGCCAAGGGGGTCATGGAGGGGGGGGGAAGAGACTGTCCCGTGCCACGTGGAAATGGTGATAGATGTTGATCACCACCCCTGCCTCCCTCCATTTGCACGGAAAACTGAGACCCATGTGTAAGAGGAGGCACAGGCAGTGCCGAGACCATTAGCAGTCAGTGCCTCTCAGCAGGGTTTACTATTCACAGCCCGGTGAGGAGGCTGTAGGATTTAGGAAGGATGGGCTGCCGACCGCAGAGGTGGATAGATGGTTGAAACTGTACCTCATATTTGCATAAGTTTGGTGTTGTGATTTTTGCTGATGGACCCACAAGGGTATTTTCCTTCTCTTGAGGTTTTCATGCTGAATGTGTAAAACCCCAAGCAGATTGTGTAACATTCCCCAGGCTCAGCTGCTGGTCCTGTCGTTAAAGGGGAACTTCAAGTCCTGATGCATTGCTGGGCCCCTGACTCTGTGGGGGGCACCCCCCCCAAGTTGGTAAGGGTGGCATTGCTTTACACGATCACAGCTCACAGAGTCCCTATGGCCTTTGTAGAGCTTAGATTGTAACAATTCCAGTTCTTTTTTTCCTTCTGACTTAACCTGTGAAAAGTGTGGGCTGGAACTGTATGTTGGCCAAGCCATTTCTCCAGGGCTTTGAAGGTGACGCCCCTGGCAGCCCTTCTGCCCTTTCCAATAAGGGAATGCAGTAAAAGGGGGAAAGTGTGGGCTGTCATGCAGTGTGTGCTTTTTAATTTGTGCAGGAATGATCCGAGTGTGCTATATTTACATTCTTCTGTTCACTGATAATGACTTTCAGATTTTTGGAGCTCCCCAGCTGACACCAAACCCCCAAACTCTCCAGCTCCCCACAGCCCTCTCTCCTCGGACGGCGTCTGTCCTGCCTCCTTGCGTCAGCTCTGCCTTATAAATGGAGTGCATTCTATAAAAACCAGGACGCCTTCAGAGCTGGAGTGCAGCCAGACCAACGGGGCCCTGTGTTTTATTAATCCCCTTTTCTTGAAAGTGCACAGCCAGGACCTCAGTGGAGGCCTGAAACGGCCGAGCACAAGGACTCCCAACGCGAATGGCACCGAGCGGCCTCGGTCCCCCCCACCCAGGCCCCCGCCACCGGCTATTAATAGTCTGCACACAAGCCCTCGGCTGTCCGGGACAGAAACCCAGACGAGCGTGCCAGAAACAGTCAACCATAACAAACATGGGAACGTAGCTCTGCCTGGAACCAAACCAACTCCCATCCCTCCGCCCCGTCTGAAGAAGCAGGCTTCTTTTCTCGAGGCGGAAGGCGGCGCGAAGACCTTGACCGGCGGCCGGCCGGGCGCGGGCGCAGCTGGCAGCGCAGGTGGAGCCCCGCCCGCCGCCGCCCCGGGCGATTGCACAAGGGCCCCGCCGCCCGGCGTTGAGTCCCGGCCCCCGCGCCATGGAGGCCGGCAGCGGCTGAGCGACCTGAGCATTTCCACTTCCTCCTCCGACTCGCTCGAGTACGACCGCAGCATGCCCCTGTTTGGCTATGAGGCGGACACCAACAGCAGCCTGGACGACTACGAAGGGGAGAGCGACCAGGAGACCATGGCGCCCCCGGTCAAGTCCAAAAAGAAGAGGAGCAGCTCCTTCGTGCTGCCCAAGCTCGTCAAGTCCCAGCTGCAGAAGGTGAGCGGCGTGTTCAGCTCCTTCATGACCCCGGAGAAGCGGATGGTCCGCAGGATCGCCGAACTGTCCCGGGACAAATGCACCTACTTCGGGTGCCTAGTGCAGGACTACGTGAGCTTCCTGCAGGAGAACAGGGACTGCCACGTGTCCAGCACCGACTTGCTGCAGACCATCCGGCAGTTCATGACCCAGGTCAAGAACTATTTATCCCAGAGCTCCGAGCTGGACCCTCCCATCGAGTCGCTGATCCCTGAAGACCAAATAGGTAAGCACTCGCTTTGTTTGCTTTTCTCCAAGTATAAAATCTGTGAGCTTGTAGATGTTTTGCTGATGGACCCATAAGAGTATTTTCCTTCTCTTGTGGTTTTAATGCTGAATGTCAGAGCAGCCTATGTTAGTTATTTTGGAAGCAGTTTAGCCTGAAGTTCAAAACAACAGCAAACTCCACCTCCTGATCCGATTTGAATGGAAAAATCAGCTTCTTAAAAAGTAGCCGCTACCTGGAAGACTTGCAGATGTTTTCGGGGAGTGACAGACTGGAATGCAGAACGATCCTGCTCAGGAATGGATTCCAGCCGTGTGGCCGTCAGGGGGCCAGGTTGCCACCTGCTGTCGCTCCCCGTGTGTCCCGCGTCTGCTGAGGACTTTCTGCAAGCCTCTCTGCAGGCTGTGCTAGCACACGAAGGCATTTTTGCTGATTCTGAGAGGCACTGGGTGTTTGTTTGTGAAATAAACTTTTAATTGAGGTATAGCATATGTTCAGAGAAGCACACAGATCAGGTGTGCAGCAGACGAGTTTCCATCAGGAGAACACCTGCGTGACAAGCTCTGTCTAGCTCAGTGAGACCCCAGCCAGCATCTAGGGACCCCTGGGATCCCTGTTCTCCTGCAAAGGTGACTGCCCTACAGGCCTCTCATCCCAAAGACCTCAGTAAGAGGCACAGTTTTGGAGTGAGCAAAAAGAAAAAAGAAATGGAAAAAATAGGTTTGCGTGTGTGTTTGTGTGTCTGTGCCTTTAAAATAAGTAGCACAGTTTGAAGGTCACACAAAAGGTGTTTTCTCCCAAGTGGAGGGGGAATACTTTTTTTTAATAATCTCTTTTAGGGCCAAATTGTTGTTAATGGTTACTTTGGCCAAGGAAAATTTGAATTTGGCCAGCATTTTTTTCCCCCAGGGCAAGAATGTTGAAGGATTATTTGTTTGTTTGTTTGTTAATTTCAGAAATGTGACTCTGAAAGGTTATTTTCAAAGACTTCATTCCCGGGCAGTGGCAGCGGGAGGAGCCACTAAGCCCTTCCAGGCAGCTCACAGCTAAACCCAATTTTTTTTCCTTCTGTTGGGATCTGTTTGTTGGAAGTAGTAAACAGTGTGTGGTGGCATTCTCTCTCGCTCTCTCTTAACTCTCCCTTCCTTTTTTCTCTCTCTCTTTCTCGTTTAAGCGAATTTCAGCAGCTCTTTGATTTTCTCACAAAGGAATCAAAGCCTTGTTTGTTTTCTTGTGGTTTGACTGAGGCGGGGTTGATGAGGGCATGGTTAGAGCCCGGGTGTAGCTGAAGTGAGTGAGGAGAGGGAATGTGCCCCTGTGAGGTGCCTTGGAATTGAAGCAGGCTTCACAGAGAAGGCAGCACCCATGCAGGCCAGCTCTGTCAACCCTGTCCCACCAAAGCCCCCTTTGCAAGGGAGACCAGCTCTGACTTCAGGTGAACAGGACCCCAACCTGCAGGAGATGCTTCCTCTCAGGGGCAAGGACAAGGGGGGGCCGGGGGAGCCAGGCAGACGCTGATGTCAGGCCCCAGCTATGTGGCGGGTGGCGCCAACCGGCCCACAGCCCTTGGCCTTCCTTCCCTGTGGATGCTGTCAGCACCAGCCGAGTTAGTCCCACTTCCAGCTGGTTTCTCCATGCCAGCTTCTTCTGGAGTTAAATTCAGATACGGCAATTGCTCTCAGAGCTCAAGGGCACACTCATTTTCTCCAGAAACATGCTGAAAATTATTACTTTGCTGCCCCAGAAGGATAGAGCTTTTACTTTAAAACCTAAGGTCATCATTTAAAGGGAAGCTACCATCTGTGGTGCCTCTACTACCAGCCAGGCAGCCAGTCCGAGCTATTACAGGGGATCTTTGCTTCACCCCACCAAAGCAGGCACCAGCTTCCCTTGTGGAATGGAAGAAGGCAGGGCCATGCTAGGTGGAGTCCCTTGTCTTTAGGCCGTATCAGCTGGTAACCGGCAAGTGTGCCCTTGAACTTGTCGGATGAGAAGCCGGGTTGGCTAAGCTCCACCCTCTCCTGCTGCAGGTGTTTGTATTTCCCCATCCAGAGTGGAGGGGACTTGGTGAGGAGCTCTCTGCTGAGGTGTAGATGCCGTCTCTGACAGCATCACCAGGCTCTTTTGTGGGTTTTGGGGGGGGGGTTATTAGCTTTTGTGTAAAAGCACACAGTTCTTCCAGTTGGTTCATCAATGAAAACATCATTCCATTTTGAAAGTGTTTCCTTCTGCAACAAACAGGAAGGTGAGTGGGAGCGGAGGTCAACCTGCGAAACTCATCCCAAGCCCGGTAGAAGAGAAACATGGGAGCCTAGTTATTAGAAAGCCGCGCGAGTTACTAGTTCAGGGCTCTGACTAGAACTTGGATGTAACCTGATTGTCAGTTTTACGGATTCCTGGAGGAAGGGCTCAGTAGCTTACTGAGGACTTGTGACAACAGTGACCCCTTTGAGACCCAAACCTAACTGGAGGTGGTATATTGGACTAGATATTGTTCACGTTTTCAAATTCAGCAGCAGAGACCCCCATGTGCAGAGAGCCGTGCCCTGGTGAGGAGGAGGTAGCTCCAGTCCAGGTCTCCTCATTCCCGCTCTGTCACGTTCCCTGTGAGGAACAGCAGATCATCGTCACTTTGAATGCCATCCTCAGAATTCCAAGCCTCAAACTTGTCCTGAACAGATGTCCCCTGGTGCTCGTAAGGCTTTTCAAGAATGCCAGTTGGGTTTCTGTGCTTCAAAAAAAGAAATCGAGTTCTCATTTCCTGTAGCCTCTGAAGGAGATAGGTCTAAACCAGAAGACAGGAGTTCTCATCGAAAGCCCAGGTTTACAGAACATTTAGCCTTGAGTCAAGGAAGGGAGCGGGGCATTTGACTGGCTTAACCCTCTTAGCACTGGGGCTGTCATTCATAGGTGAAAAGGACCGTATGAGCACGTGCGTGTGGATGGCTTTAGTAGGTGGAGACAGTGCCAAAAATCAGTCTTCTTACGAGGGTGGTTCCTCAGTTGCATAGAGAAAAGCCAGTGGGAAAGACAAATAGTTCTCACTCTATCACGTTTTGCCCACATGTTGATGTCTCTCTCCTTTCTAGCAATCTCTAGACAAGTATAAATGATAAATAGTGAATCAACCTCAAAATGAAAAGTGGCCACTGTAAATGATCATGCCCTTCCCAAAGAATCTGATTTCTATTAGACTGCCCTTTAGAGCACTCTGCACAGAAGCCCTGCCATTTAGAGGTTCTCCAATAAATATTACTTGCCTGGTACCTACTTGGCTTTGCTGGGTGGAGCCTGAAGCCGAGGAGGGTGAGACATGGGTAGGTCCGCCATGAACCAGCTCTCTGCTCATTCCAAGACTATATACTGGGCTTCCCTTCTGGACAGAACATCCATTCACCCCTCCACAATGGTAGATGGAGGAACAAACAAATGCTTGAACAAAAAAGCACACACAGCTCTTGGGCCCTCCTGGGGTCAGTCGTTTCCTGGACAGCCTGTGTCCTGCTCCTTGCTGGTGGACCAGGCTGTGTGACGTGGGCCACCGTGTGCTTCCTCCTCAGTGGGCTCTCACTTTACACTGCTCCTGCTTCCGTCTTTTCAACTAATGGGAGAAACTCATTCACAGTTTCTGGTGGAAAAATCTCCATTTTGCAGAACTTATTACAATGTTGCGAAGAGTGTTTTCATTTGAATAAAAGAATGTTTATTTCTGACATGATGTCAAACTTGGGAAATCCCTGTTTTTTCAAGTCTCATTTCAAGAAAAACAAAATTTCTCCGGCTCTAAAAATGTTAGTAATCCAAAGTTTTCTACTTCATTCAAACTATTCACCACAGGCTATCAACAGGGATACAGAACAGCCAACCGTTCATATTCCTAAAAGTCAGTAGTGAAAACAAGACAACATTGGTTTTTTTTCCTGCAGTTGTTACAAACCAAAATGTATGTTTTTCTCCAGAGGGTACTTTAATGATGTGAAGGAAAAGTATCCTTAAACTCAATTCCCATGTATTTTAAAGAGCTCATAAATCTATATATCTGAGGGGGTTTTGCTTTTTAATAGAAAAATGATATGAAAATGTGGTTCAACACCACGCAGGACAACACACATGGAAAATGGGAGCAGAGTGACTCCGTAGGCGTGAACAATCACAGCTACTTCAGTTCAGATTAGTTTTTTAAAAATTAACATCTGGCTCAAATTTCAATCTCTAAAACTTGTTTTTAATTTTTCAGTTCACAAGGCCCTGAGTTATCTGCTCTTTTTTTAGCTGAAGATCCATTCTTAGAGGTGTGGACAGGGAGGCACGTGCCAAACTGAGATTAAAACCGGGAATCTTCTGACTTATGATCTAGGGCATGTGCTGCTGTCCCCTGAAGGAGAAAGTGTCCTTCTGTAGTTGACAAGAGGTAGAGAACAAAGAGAAAGATTGGTCTCTTCAGGTGTGTGAAAAGGATGCCTGGATTATTTTCAAAAAATAATTTAAATAGATAGAAGGCCAGCAAGGAAGCACCTTTTCCCTCCCCATGGCGTATCCTGTGATGAATTTTACTTTGGAGCATCAAAATTGTGTTAATTACATCAACTAAAAGCAAGTTCACAACCCTAGAGTTGACAGTCTCTGATCATGAGTCCTGACGCCATGATATTCCACCCAAGGGGGCTGTTAGCTCAATAATTCAGAAAGGCTTTGTTCTTAAGGTGAGCTGGGGGACGGCATCTCAGGGCCAGTCACGGGGTGAGGTCTGCACCAAAGTCAAGGTGGCCTGGGGGACGGCATCTCAGGGCCAGTCACGGGGTGAGGTCTGCACCAGAGTCAAGGTGGCCTGGGGGACAGCATCCCAGGGCCGATGACATGATGAGGTCTGTACCAGAGTATTTTCTGATATGTCTCTAGAATCTTCTTGCTTCCCTGGACAGGAAATATTACTAGGTAAAAGAGGAATTCAAGAAGGTATTGAATGTGACCCAAAGGACACCGAAAATGCTGCATGGATT